AAACCTAACCCTAAACCTAACCCTAAACCTAACCCTAACGCTTAACGTAACCCTAACCCTAACCCTAACCCTAACCCTTAACCCAGTGTTTTTCAACCACTGTGCCGCGGCACACTAGTGTGCCGTGACATAGTGTAAGGTGTGCCGTGGGAAAAAGAGAATTACTTTATATATAGTCAATATAGGCACAGAGTTAAAATTTTTTAACATTTTCTAATGGTGGTGTGCCTCGTGATTTTTTTTCATGAAAAAAGTGTGCCTTTGCACAAAAAAGGTTGAAAAACACTGCACTAAGTCCATGTCTCTCAACCGTGGCTACTTGGACTTCAACTCCCAGGATTCCCCAGTGAGCATAAGTGTGGAAGCTTCCATATTTATTCATCTCGTTTGCAAACTCAAATGCCCATTTTTATAACAGGCCTTGGGAGGATGACAATCGGCATCCAGTAGAACAAGAAGAAATGAAAACTCTTGAACCGAAGAACAGAATTGGTGATTCTTCATTTGAAACTGACTTTTTACAGTGGTGCGTAGAAAAGTATTCAGATGGGAGAGCAAGTTCTCCAATGGTTCAACGCAAAAGACGTCCTCTTGAATGTTTAGGAAAAGCAGAGCACCCATTTATAGCTCTTAAAAAAACCCTTCAAAATACGTCACAAGGGAAGCTGTACTTGAGAATACATATACACTTACAACCCACTGGAGATCAAACCGAATGTTTATTTTAAAAACAGACAAACTGCACCCCCCACACCTCCAGTTAACTTTTTTTTTAAAAAAATACACCAGGCTGTTCTTTGATCCCAGCAAAAGTTACTGGTTTAATAAGAGTAGTTCTTTTGAAAATTGCTTCTGTGAAACAAGACTATTCCAAAATGCAAAAAAAATAAAAAATGAGGAAACACCCACAATATATACAAAAGTATTATTTCAGCTTCAAAATGTAAAGTATTTTTGCATGCCACACTCAACATGCTTAACCACCTTTCCACTTTTATTTTTTTTTAGGGGAGAAATCCATCGATGAAAAAGTCTAAAAGGGAAATCAAGACGTTGGAATAAACCAATGTTATCTTTATGGGCTCATGTCTGCTGATAGTTTTTCGTTCCGAAACCAACAGGCTAGAGAGGACTTCCTAAACAATAAGGAGACACTCCTAGGGGAACTGGGATTATTTTGCTCTTGCACAACTGCTTTTACTGGGAGCGTTCGGACAACCGAAACCACTCCGAGTTGCTTCTTAGCACAGCTGGCTGAGAAAGAAATCATGCCATTTTAGTTAGGCTGAAGGTCCAGACTTGGGGACTGACTGAGAGCAGGCTGCGCGGAATAATCCGTTCGCGCAGATATTGTCCTCCAACGCACAAGGAAGGAAATATAACCAGTTGCACCCATGTTGTACTTAGGATCCAGTTCTAAAAATCTGTGTGGATCCCCCCTCCTTCTTTTCCTATAAGCCTAGACAACCAGAATTGCTTTGATACACACACCTAAAGATCATCTTCCCAAGGATTTGGTTCAGAGAAGTACGTTCTTTTTAAAACCTGCTCCAATTCTCCCACAAAATTATAAACCCAGAGTTGCAAATTATTCAAAGACAATAATTTGATCAGCCATCCCCAAAGTCTATCCTTCATCTGCAGAGAAAGGCTCACTAATTCTTGCCAAGGCCTTTAGGCAGGAAACCCGGCCAATTTTTCGTGGGAAAAGAAAAAGAGAGGGAGGGGGAAAAAACACCCCGCAGATTCCCACCTTCGGTTCAAAAGCTGCAGGTAAAGCAAGATCGGGCCTAAAGGTAGGTCTCTCGGCTTTGATTTAAAGGACCTCCGATAGGGAGGAAGATCTCTTGATCCCGGGATCCGGGATGTAACCCCTGGAGTTCTGTTCTTCTTGACTTGAGAATGCAGCAAGAATCGGAGAGGCCGGGGAGGAACAGGTCAAGAGGAGCCACGAGGAAGGCACGCTTACGTTGGGCGGGTTATTTCGGAAGGCGCGGAAGGAGCACCTCAATGGCAGCAGCCTCCGCACGGCGTGCCCAAGTGAGCCTGCTGGCTCTCCCCAAATTTGGTCCTCCGGCTGAGGATCTCGTAGGAGCAGTCTTCCCCACAGCAGCCGGACATGCTCGGTGAGGTATCGTCTATTTCAAATCTAAAGGATCAGGACAATTGCTTTTTAAAAAAAAAAAAACAGCAGGCCCACATACACAGACCTTCCAGCTGGTGTTTTCTCAATAAAATTGATCGTATTTGGTGAAACGGTTTGGTGTTTGTCGAAATAATTTTAACACGGTGAACGCTTTAATCTAAGCAAGGAGGCGATGTGCTAAAAAGGCGTGGCTTTTTAATTTTAAAAAAAAACCCACCCAAATATTTAGCGATCCCGTTGTTGTTGTTCCTGCCTTGGAAGGCGAGAATAATGAAATCAAATCATTTTGACTTACTGTAAAGCTTCCCTGAAGAAGTGGTTGGCTCCGTGGTTATGTTTGAAGACTGTTAGCATGACTTTTTTCATCTGTGTGCTGAGGAAAGTCAGGAAGAGCCAAAATCAGAATGGGCTGAGAGAAAAACAGGCCGGGAGGGGGGAGGGTGTAGTGCTCCTAAAAAGCTTCATTTGGGGGAGGGGGATCAATTTCTAGACTGTAACTTTGCTGCTTGTATCCTTACGATTTATATTGATATTGATTGTTTCCTGATTGCTTATTTGTATCCTATGACTATCACTAAGTGTTGTACCTTATGATTCTTGACTAATGTATCTTGTCTTTTTATGTACAAGGAGAGCCTATGCATTCTATTCTAGTCTGTATTCAGAATTCACTCCTTCTATTCTGTTGCTTATGAGTAACCTACGAGTATCACTAAGTGTTCTATCTTATGATTATTGATGAATGTATTCTATTTTATTTTTCTTTCTGTACACTGAGAGCATCTGCACCAAAGGCAAATTCCTTGTGTGTCCAATCACACTTGAACAATAAAGAATTCTATTCTATTCTATTCCATTCCATGCTATTCTACGTAGAAGTCAAAATCCTTAGGATTATTTGGAAGTTTGGGCTCTGCTTCATGCTTTTTAAGGATGCCTGGATTTGTAGCTCAGAAACCATGGGAAAGCAAAGGCCTACCTGTTTGCCACAAGCTGCAGGATCTGAATGAGGAACTTGCCGAGGCCTTTCCTTCTCGCTTTGCTTTCTAGCTGTATTTCATAGCTAGAGCAAGAAAGAGAGAAAATACGCTAAGCAAATACCAATACCCCAGCTGTGCCATCTATTATCTTCGTTATTGCCATTTGAAGTACAAGATGCCGAATTTGGAAACACTATTTAGAAGAGAAGAGCTTTCAATTGATAGGAAAAAAAATCCTTTTTTTTAAAATTTGAAATCAGTGCTTGCAACTATTTAAACACTTAAATAAATATTGAAAGCTTGCTCGGGGATTTCGGCATTCGATAAGCTTGAAACAAGGAGAAGACCAACCAGATGTGAAAATAACTGATGAAGTGCCAAATACGGGGGTCATGTGAAATGTCACATTAAGGAGACATGGTTGGCACACAGCAGATTCTGGATTTGTTTTGCAGGCACAAATGACCCTTTCCAACATAGAGCCCTGGTGGCGCAGTGGTTAGAACGCAGTATTGCGTTCCCACAGCCTGGAGTTCGATCCTAGTGGGGCTCAAAGTTGTCTCAGCATTCCACCCTTCCGAGGTGGGTAAAATGAGAACCCAGATTGTTAAGGCAATAGGCTGACTCTGTGCACTGCTTAGAGAGGGCTGAAAAGCACTATGAAGTGGTATATTAGTTCCATCACTGTTCTGTTCTACCCTACTCTGCATTTTTCCTGCATTCTCTTCCATGCCATTCTATATTTTCTATTCCATTCCATATTTTCTATTTCATTTCATTCCATCAATTCTATTCTATTATTATTCTATTCTTATTATTCTATTCTATTCTATTCCACGCAATTCATTCTTATTCTATTCTATTTCTATTCTGTTTTGTTCTATCCTATCCCATATTTTTATTCTATTCTATTATTATTCTATTCTATTTCTATTCTGTTCTATTCTATCCCATTCCATATTTTCTATTCTATTCCATTAATTCTTATTCTATTTCTATTCCATCCCATCCCATATTCTATTCCATTCTTATTCTATTTCTATTCCATCCGATGCCATTCTGTTAATTCTATTTTATTATTATTCTGTTCTATTTCTATTCCATCCCATATTTTCTATTCCATTCTATGAATTTTATTATTATTCTATTCTATTATTATTCTATTCTATTTCTATTCCATCCCGTATTTTCTATTCCATTCTATGAATTTTATTCTTATTCTATTCTATTATTATTCTATTCCTTTTCTGTTCTGTTCTATTCTTATTCTATTCCATCCCATATTTTCTGTTCCATTCTATGAATTCTATTATTATTCTATTCTATTATTACTCTATTATATTCTATTATTATTCAATTCTTATTCTATTCTATTCCTTTTCTGTTCTATTCTATTCCTTTTCTATTCTATTCTATTCTTATTCTATTCCATCCCATCCCATATTTTCTATTCCATTCCACTGGACCTTCCTGCCTGATGAAGACCGCAATCCAGCTGCTGAAATTCCAAGTCAGAAGTCCTACCAATAGAGAACCTCCTCTCCGTATTCGACGTCAAAGCGGAAATGCGAGAAGGCCACAGGAAGGGAGCCGTTCTCCAAAGCGATTAAGTACCAAGCCCTGTCGTCGGTCATTTCATCCCGTTTTTCCCGGTCTTTCCATCCCCACTCGCTCTGCTCATACCTTTTGAAGGGGGACAGAAAAAACAAGAGAGAGAGAGAGAGAGAGAGAAACGAGAAAATCCTTCAGGATGGGATCAACAACCTTCTGTCCAGGGAAGTTGGGAATCCTTGTGCAGGGATCATATTCGGAATATGTCTCTCCAGAGCCACTACAGGTAGTCCTTGATTTGCAACCATTCATTTACTGACCGTTAAAAGTTACAACACTGAGAAATGGCTTACCGCGGATCCTAGCACGGCTCGTCTTCTGCTTATAACCACAACGGAGCCCAACATTTCTGTGGCTAAGCGGGACAGTCGTTAAGTGAGTTTTGTCCCATTTTACAACTTCCCTTGCCACAGCTGTTAAGCGAATCCCTGCAGCCGTGAAGTTAGTCACCCGGTTGTTAAGTGAATCGGGCTTCCCCGTTGACGTTGTTGGTCAGAAGGTTGCAAAGGGGGATCACATGACACCCACACACACAAACACCCCGGGACAACACTGCAAGCGTCATGAATGTGAGTCAGTTGCCAAGCGGCCGAATTTTGATCATGTAACCGTGGGGGTGCTGCAACGGTCGTTAAGTGTGAGAAACGGTTATAAGCCACTTTTTCAGTGCTGTTGTGACTTGGGAACGGTCACAAGTTGTTGGAAGTGGAGGTTTACCTGTATTCTTGGGCACTTTTTCCCTCTCTTACAAATCACATATTTTGGCTCTTGAGCCAGAGAGAGTGAGGTTGGGCCACCTTTGGCTCATACCACAATTATTGGCTACAGCTGCCCACCAGCCTCCCGCTGTCCCTGGGCATCCTTATGGCCTTACAAGGTCTGCATGTTCGTTTTGGTCAGCTCAAAGGCCCAGTCGAGGGTAGCCGGTTCCAAACTGGAGACGCGTTTGCACTCGATGGAAACGTTCAGTCTGTAACGGAAGAACAAGACTGTCAGGCCTGCAGCCGTCTTTTCTATTAGGTCTTTGGCCTGCCACACTTTCTATGGTGGGAAAATGGGAGGGGAGATTGTAAGGAGTTAGATGATATGTAGCCATAACAACATTCTTTCTGGAAAGCCAAGGTCATCCTTTGTCTCGGCACCTCTGCACCTGACTGGAACTGGAGGGTGGAACCGCCAGCGTGGCAGTGGGAGATTGGACCATGGGATGGACTTGTGGGTGTGTGGGCAAGATCTTGAACTTTCAACTAGGTGGGGGGAAACTGAACTTTCAGATTTGGGTTTTGTGCCAACATGGCTCTCTTCATAAATGGGAACTTTGAGCAATACTTTGCCTTGGACTCTGATTTACTTTTGGATGCTATTTGGAACCCTGAGAAATACGTGATTAGGATTACTTGTGGAAGTGCAATTAAATCTGGGGGTTGCGAGATAGGAAATGCCATGCAGCCCTCAAGCAGGACAAGAGTGAGGCTTTGTAATTATTTTAGCGCAGGAGAGGCCTGGATTCGAATCTCTCCCCTCAAAAAAGGACACGGGCTTTTTACTCACCCGTTTCTGTCGTATTTCTTGAAGACAGGAAAAGCTTCTAAGGGGTCTCCCAGCTGTACAAAGAAAGGAAGTCGTTAGAGAAACTCAAAAGTTGATGTCGGGAGAACAGTGAAGCAGTGATCTGTCACTGAGGGACAGCCACAAGGAAGAGGGAGTCCACCTGTTCTCCAAAGCACCTGAAGGCAAAGCAGGATACAATGGATGGAAAACTAATCAAGGAGAGATCCAGCTTAGAAATAAGGAGAAATTTCCTAACAGTGAGAGCAGTTAATCTGTGGAACGGCTTCCCTCCAGAAATTGTGGGAGCTCCAACATTGGAAGTTTTCAAGAAGAGATTGTGCAGCCATTTCTCCAGAATGGCACAGGGTCTCCTTCTTGAGCAGGGGGTTGGACTAGACGACCTCCAAGGTCTCTTCCAATGGCTATTCTGTTAAAAGCACAACTGTCTAACTTTGGAACATTTAAGAATCAAGATCAAGACAATAAAACGCCTGGCCTTTTGTTATATTATCAAATAAAATGCTGATTTTGCTCGTCCGAAGTCATCTGGGAAGATCCCCAATGGGGGAATCATGTCACTCTGCGACGCTGCAGCTGTTTTAAATCCACGCCAGTTGTCAAGATCCTGAATTTTGAGCATGTCAATGCAGGACGGCGGCAACAGTCATTAAGTGCGAAAACCAGTTCTAAGTCACTTATTTCAATGACAACATAAGTTCAAATGGCCACTAAATGAATGGCTGTAAGTTGAGGACTATCTGATTCAGGTAGAATACCTTCAGCTGATCACATACTCTGCAGTAATTAATCAGCTAAACTGCCTTAACTTCAATGTGATAGAAAATGTCTAATTCATGAGTAGATCTGTGGGCAAATTTATTGAGGGGTTGTTTTCTTTCTTTTTTGAGAGGGGGGGGAGACTTCCTTTCTTCAGCTCCTTCCTCTGCTTGTCTTTTCCTCTGTTAAAATTAAAATGTTTATTTACACCATGTTTCCCTAAAAATAAGACTGGGTCTTATATTAATTTTTGCTCCAAAAGCTCATTAGGGCTTATTTTCTGGTTAGCTCTTATTTTTGGGGAAATACGGTATTAAACAGGTCCATCTGGCTGACAATCTTAACTGGGGCTTATTTTGGAGGAGGGGAGGTAGGGCTTATATTACAAACATCCTGAAAAATCAGGCTAGAGCTTATTTTCTAGTTAGGTCTTATTTTGGGGGGAAATAGGGTACCGTATTTTTCAGACTATAAGATGCATCAGAGTATAAGACGCACCAAGATTTTGAAGGTAATTTTTTTAAAAAAAGTTTTTGCACTCTGCAGGCCTCCCAAACCCTCTGGAGGCCTCATTTTTTGTGAAAACCGGGGCATGCAGAGAGTTTGAGAGGCCTGCAAAGTGGGGGGCAAAAAGAGCAAAAAATGGCCCATTTTCCGTTCATTTGCACGCCCATGTTTGCGAAGGGGCGGGGTTTTGGGAGGCCAAAAATGCTGTATTCAGTGTATAAGACGCACCCAGATTTTCACCCTCTTTTTTTTTTGGGGGGGGGGGGGGAAAGATGCATCTTATGCTCCGAAAAATACAGTATATCTTTATTCTAACTAGTGTCTAATAACGATCAACTCCTCCAAGTGGCTTGATCCATTCCTTCTCTAAACACCAGAACCTTCCTAGAGGACAAAGACTTTCAATATTACCAATTTGTTCGTGTCAGGCAAGAAATAAACTCACAGATCTGTGTTCTCCCATCTTCAAAACACTGTTTAAAAATAATGCTTCAATCCCCAGGAGTCCTGAGGTCTGGACAGGTTGCTAAGCAAAGGCTTGGTGATACCAGCAGGAAGCCATAAAACACAAGGCAGCGGCTGGATTCAAACAACACCTTAAACCCAGGGCTTCCCTAAGTTTTCCCTTCCTTATTCCAAATAGCTTCTCGGAAACTTCCAGGACCCTTTGTTACTTTGAACAGTTGCTTAATGAATGGTCGTAAGTGGTAAAAGTAAAGGTGCTAGTCGTTCCAGACTCTAGGGGGCGGTGCTCATCTCTGTTTCAAATCTGAAGAGCCAGCGCCGTCCAAATACATCTCCATGGTCATGTGGCTGGCATGACTCAACACCAAAGTTGCACAGAACGCTATTTCTTTCCCACCAAAGGTAGCTCCTATTTTCCTACTTGCATTTTTTAAGTGTTTTCAAACTGCTAGGTTGGCAGAAGCTGGGACAAGTCACAGGAGCTCACTCCGTAACGTGGCGCTCAGGATTCGAACCACCCAACTGCCGACCTTTCTGATCGACAAGCTCAGCGTCTTAGCCACTGCGTCCCTTGGTCATAAGTCAACGACTATCTATATTATAAAAATAATATCATTGAAGATCAATCAAATCAGGCAGGACTCAACTTAACAGATGCCTCGCTTAGCAATGGAAATTCTACTCCCAGTAAGTCATGCCTGTACAGGAAAGCTTTATTATTTTCCCTACTTCACGCATTCCTCAATTATGCAATCATTGGGGTAAAACTATTCAGTAAGTTTCAGGACAGAGGCAGGGAGTGGAATCAGAAGTTAAGTTGCTTTTCTAACCACTACCATTAAGGGTGTCCAACTTCGGCAACTTTTAAGACTTGTGGACTTCAACTCCCAGAATTCTCCAGCCAGCTTTGGGAATTCTGGGAGTTGAAGTCCACAAGTCTTGAAGCTGCCAAGATTGGACATGGCTGCATTGCATCCTTCCCTAGATTTTAACTGTAGGTTTTATACAAGGTGTTTTTTAATAGCCCTAAGAAAGAAGCTGGAAAATAAGACGTACTTTGCATGGTAAAATAATAAAGATGTGGAATAAAAAAGGAGAAAAACTCACTTTATTTGCCGCCTCAACCTTGGCACAGACAGCATCCATGGCTGCCCGCTCCTCCAACCGTTTCTGCTTCTTCTCCTTCCCTTTACTGGACTTCCTCTGCAACCAGGAGGGTTGAAATGCTAAGACACAACACACAAACAGAACTGAACAGTTCCCCATCTATTAAGGCTTCTTCCATCACAGGTGGTCCTCAACTTACGACCACAATTGAGCTCAAAATTTATGTCGATGAGCGAGGCAGTTAAGTGGATTTCCCCCATTTTATGGCCTTTCTTGACACGGTTGTTAAGCGAATCACTGCAGTTGTTAGGGTATTAACAGGGTTGTTAAGTAGATCTGGCTTCCCCGTCGACTTGGCTTGTCAGAAGGTCACAAAAAGGGGTTCAGTGACCCCCAGGACATTGCAACCGTCATAAATGAGTCAGTTGCAGTGGTGGGTTGCAGGTGGTACGCCCCGGTACCAGGTACCATTCCGGTACGATGCTCTGGAGGGCCCACCTGCCTGCCTGAGCTCCTTGCCTGTCCTTTAAAGCCTTTGACGCTTCCGTGCACAGCGCGTACAGCGCCTGCACGACACTCCGCCAAACAGCTGGAGCGTTGCGGAGACTTGCGGAAGTATCGCTGGCAGGCACAACACATGCATGCGCCCCCCGCATTTGCGTGCCCATCTGGGCGACGCCAGGCCCGTTCCAACCGTACCAGTTGGAACGGGATCCAGAACCCACCACTGGTCAATTGTCTGAATTTTGATCAGGTGATCATAGGGATGCTGTAACAGTAATGAATGGGGGAAAAGAGTCATTAAGTCGCTTTTTTCTGGGGTGTTGTGACTTTAAACAGTCACTAAATGAACTGTTGTAACATCTGGACTGTACTTTCTACAAGGCCTGAAATATAGGTAGTCCTCAAATTACAAGCATTTGTTTAATGACTTGCTCAAAATTACAACATTGCTAAGAAACAGGGACGTATCTTCAATGCTTCCACTTATATAATCGTTGCAGCATTCCCACCGTTATATGATCCAAATAAAATAAAATAAAACAAACTCAAAATTTGGGACACCTTGACCAACCCATGGATTCTGCTAAATCAATGAAAGCTGTTAATCAAAAGCTGATCTCCATTACAGCAACAAAGAATAAAACTTCCCTGATTAACAACGTCCCCAGTTCGTAAAGTAAACTTTTCTGTGGATGAAGCCAATTAAAATGTGTAGTTTGTTTATAAAAAAGTTGTGAATAAACAAGCAAATACTTCCAACTCTACTTCCTTAATGCATCATTTTTCAGATCATGGCTATCGGAAACTCCTATCATCCATCTATCTATCTATCTATCTATCTATCTATCTATCTATCTATCTATCTATCTATCTATCTATCATCTATCTATCTATCTATCTATCTATCTAT